TAAAACACATCAAAAACAGATATAAAAATAAAATTCTTACAACTAATTTTAGCCCCACCCCACCCCCGCTGACACCCCCTTACCGTAATCATTGCCACCGCTGCTAAGGTCTCAATCAGGCCTCTGCAGCCACGGCCTGTAGAAAGGGAAACTGGCTGCCCTTTGCAAAGATGGTGGCTGTGGCTTCATTTAGGGTTGGAAAACTGCAGCTGCCATCTTTGCAAAGGGTAGCCTGGATTCCCTTCTTATGACACCAGGGAGGGAAAACGACTACTTGGGTCCAATTTGGACATTGTCACTTAGGGGTGTAACTCACATTTGTTTCCAGCAGTTTGGACATTAATGGCTATGTGTTGCGTTATTTTGAGGGGACAGCACATTTACATTGTTATACAAGCTGTATACTCACTGCTTTACATTGTAGTCAAGTGACATTTCTTCAGTGTTGTCACATGAAAAGATATACTAAAATATTTATGAAATGTGAGGGAGTGTATTCACTTCTGAGATGTACTGTACATACCTGAACTGTATTTCAGACACTATAGATGGTACATCAGAGGGGTTTTTTTCTCAATTTTGGAAAAGGAATTTTTGGACTCCAGTAACCAGTAGATGTGCTTTGTAAGAGATTCCAAAAGCCATAGTCCAATATCCTATACACTTTTTCTAAGTCCTAACATTACACCTATGCAGATTTAAAAAAATGTTTTAAGGTGTTTTTTTTAAAAAAAATATTATGTGTGTGTGCGCGCGCGCTTTTTTAAAGTCATATGATGCTTTTAATGATGATTATTGTGTGGCTTCAATTGACTCTGAAGTGCCTTGAGGGGAGAAAGATGGTATATAAATAACATAAATAAAATTGCTGTTCACAGATGTTGACCCCCCTACCAAAAGACTGGTGTTTGGGTCTTATTTAGCTAGACTGGACTAGGAGAAATTAGCAACTACTGATTATGATCTTGTGTGGCAAACTGGTAATGGAGTGTGCTAAACATTCTACTGCACCAGAAATACTGGGAACTTAAAAATGAGACTTGTCGTTGTCCTTCATCTTCCCTACTATCAGTGAGAGCTAACAAAAGATTGTGGGTTTTTTGACAACTCCTCCAGCCACCATGGTTCTCTGTCATTGTTTCTGTCCTTCTTTACAAGGTAAGTTGGAGAAAGGGAGCAGAATCACTGCTTGCTGTGCTTGAGATAGCTGTCACTCATTGTGAGAAATCATGGCACAGTGGTTAAACTACAGTACTGCAGTACTGCAGTCATGACTCTGCTCATTGCCTGAGTTTGATCCTGACAGGCTGAGACAGCTAGCTAGAAATTAACTCAGCCTTCCAGCCTTCCAAAGTCATTAACTGAGAACCCAACTTGCTGATATGTGTGTGTGGAATGTGTGGCCTGCATAATTACATTGTAAGCCACCCAGAGAGTGCTTTGAGCACTATAAGGTGGCATGTAAGCAGCACACTTTGCTTTAATTATGAGCTGAATTCATTGTGAGGGAGAGGCTTATAATCAAGGTAAATTTTCCAAAATAGAGGCATTTGTTTGCCAGTCCCCCTCCCTTTTGTTACAGAAATTTGATGCCATCCTTCTGTACAAAGCATTGCAGCATTAATGTTCTAACTTTGGCCATAGGGATGAATACAACAACGTCTGCCTTAAAGCACAGCTACCCCAAAACATTTCTGCTTCATAAGGCTTTGCTTAAGAGGCATGTAGATTTCTCAGAGTAGACACAGAAGCCTGCTCAGGTAAGCGTCATTTCCAGACTTGTGGCCTGTGGGTTGAGAAACACTGGAGCAAACCGGTAAATATTTCAGAAGCAATCCACAGTGACAGCCAAGACTGTCCCCTGAGATTAATTATTAATTGTCGTTATCGGAGAGGAAGGAGCGGAGAACAGCTTCTTCTTCTCTCCACAGTTAGTTTCTGCCCAACCGCATTGTTCAAAAGCTGCTTGTGTGCCGAATTTTTGCGAGCTGATAGGCTTTGTGTGGGATGACTTGGAGGGAGATTTGTGGGTGGAGGATGGGGGAGAGGACTGCTTCCAAGAATATCTCTGATTAGACTTGAAACTCTGTCCTGGGCATGTGACTTTTGGCTCACCCACAGTAGGTGATGACCGCTTGAGATCCAAGAAAGAAGGATGACAGCAGTATCGGTGGTGAAAAGTAGCATTGTTGGTGTATCATTAGGAGCAAGCAGGTGGGAGGAAACTCCCTCCACTTGAATTCTTTTCAGATTTGGACTTGGCTTCGGAGGATTCAGCCATCTGCACCTGGACAAAGGAGCTCTCCTCAGCTTGCCTTTGGCGTGACAAAGACAGTGCTTCTCACAGCACGTCTTATTAGGAGCCTGGCTTCAAATCCAATAGAATGTGCAAGTCTGAATGGGGCTTGTCACAGTGCTGATTCACAGTAGCGAGATGCCAGAAATGGCTGATGATGAACTATTGCTGTTATAATAGAGGAGAACTTCTTTTATTGTCTCCCCTCCCCTCATTTTTAATAGCTCAGCCTGAGGTAGCAGACTTGAAAAAGCATAATATTAAGTTTAGGTACCTGGTGCATCTCATTGCAAATCTTTGGCTAACCGTTTCACAGACATGTGGGTATTTTTAAGAACTGATTTAAATATAAAATGCTAGCATTTAATCTTTCTGGTTCTGAACTACATAGCAACAAATTCTTTTGAGTATTTTCACTCAGAGCATTTTCTTTAATGTTTGCCAGTAGGGATAGAAAGAACACTCATTATGTTTCTTTTCCTCCTGGATTCAGACTCTCTTGACACACACAAAAATCTTGATAAGGAATTTTAAAGACGAGAAGATTCCCTGCCTCAAGTCATGGTAAGCCATGTGAGAACTTTTATGATTGGAAGTAAATTGTCAATGAAATTGAGACTGCACTGCTCAATTTTAACCGAAAGGGGAAATTGTATACAAATGGTTTGATTTGTTTTGCAAAACATTGTTCTTGATGTAACAACTCTTCCAAGGGTGTCAGGAAGTTCCTTACCATTCTTGCTGGCAAGGTGAGGAATTTTTCAATTTCCCATCCTTGTCCATGACAATAGGATGAGCAAAGCTTTATAATCCTTTTTTATGGCTACATTTTCACCCAAACCAAGTTCTGGTTCCACAGGAAGCCAGATAAATAGGGCCACAGGCACCCTTTAGACTGCAGTTATTTATTTATGATGTCATGTACCGTATTTTTTGCTCCATAAGATGCACCTGAGCTTAAGACACACCTAATTTTTAGAGGAGGAAAACAGGGAAAATATATTCTGAACCAAATAGTGTAATAAAATATTTAATAAACTATAACAGAATAACATTTGAACCATATAAAGTGAACAGCAGTCAACAGTGGCATTAAGAACCATTACCACTGTCATTAACAAATGGAGAGACTTAAAGGTTTGTGTACTCTAGTTTATGTATTATAAATTTGTGTACTATAAATTTTAGTCAAGTACATATAGACCATTATCAGCCAGTGATAAGACCTATACCACTCTACCTATATTTCACATTTCCTTTCATCCACCTCCTCCCCATGCTTATAGAAATGTCTCAATGACAGATGAGATTGTTGTGCAACTCTGCCCAGCTACAGCTCAAGCCTATATTAAGTTAGAAATGGTTTGTCTGATTTGGCACTGCATTGAGAGGTCCCTTTTAGTTGTGTGGAGGATAAATAGTGGAATTAAACTATTTAACAGCTGTTAACACAGTTAGTTTCCTTGCTGCAGCACCCTTTGGAAATACATTCTCTATTAGATGCCCAGAACTACTTGAAAAGTTTGCAAGTTGAATCCAAATTTCCCATAGAAATGCATTGAAAATTAATTAATGCATTTTTATACGGTTTAACCCAAAACAAGCAGCCTTTAAAGCAAAACTAGCAGCTTTTAAAGCAAGTATGCACGTTTCTACACAAGCAGGTTTCAACTCAAACAGAGCACCTTTTCACCGAAGCACTAACAAGCAGCTTTTAAACTAAATTTTACATTTTAAAATGAGAATACCAGGCAGTCCCAGGTCTCTCTCCCAGCTATCTAACTGCTTGGACTAGCAAGGAAGCAGAAAAGCAGCCTCTTCACTAACTGAAAGTTTGAATTTCCCGCTTTCCCTGCCCTTCCCCACATGTTAGGTGTGCTAATATCTGTGCACTGGAGGATTGTGGGAGGAACACCCAGCCCCTGTGGGGCACCCCAAAACACTGAGGAGCTTTCTTGGCCTCTGGCAGGACTGGGGCTGTGCAGCCCTGTTATGATCAGGAGGTGCAGCCAGGGGGTCATCATGCCTTTGGGGGACAGGGCACAGAAAGGGGCAGGAGTTGCAGGGGCAATACCAACTCATACCTGGCAGGGGAGATACCATGATCATAAAAGTGGTTTTCCCAGGGTAAGGCTCATCTATTGCACTTTGGATGTGCTAATGACTGTGATTTCCCCAAATATGGGAAAATTAACTGCCATGTTTGTGGTAATGGGGGGGACTGTGTTTATGGTTCCGGAGCTGGAGTCCGAAAGGCAGCATGTGTCATTCTGCCAACTCCTGCGACATTGCTGGAACCAGTTGTATTGGCTCTTGCCTTTCCATTGGACCATTTCAGCAATGTGGAGAGGGGGGGATCTGTTGCTTGGGTAACAGCCTATCCTCCATATTACCTTACCCGGGCTTCATGCTCTGGAGAGGACACTCCTCGATTCAGAGCATGTTACCATAGTCTCTCGAGACTGAAGGATGCCTATGCCTATGTGTTTATGGTTTCCCCTGATCTTTTTAGAATCACTATTTTCCCTTTGTTCCCTGGCTATTTTCATTGCATTCTACCATTTAAATTTGCTGCTATAAGCCTGTTGGCCCTGTTGGTTTTCCAGCTGGGCTCCAGGAAGCAGATCCTGGAAAGCCAGCAGTGCAGATGGCAGAATTGTGAGGTTCAATGTGGCTGCCACAGCAAGCAGCCTCTGGTGCCAGTTCAGAGGCTTCCCAGCATGGCAGTGGGAGGCTTCTGGGTGGTGGTGGCTGAACCCTTTTTTTACTGTATTCACTCCATAAGATGCACATACTCCTCCCCCACTATTTGGGGGAGAAAAAGTGCATCTTATGTAGTGAAAAATACGGTATTTTCCTTCCACTAACAAGAGTTCTCACTGAGCTTATAGTAAAAGGGAACTGGTAAAGAAAACCATAAAACCATAATCTAAAGACAACATAAAAACCTGTGAAATTGAACTGAAATAAAATTCTCATGTGCCCCTTTCTCCTTCCACATATTGCCACCAGATATTCAAGCTATTCTGTACTTCCATAGCTTAAGCCACTATAGGAAGAAAATCTTATGAATGCAGGTTTTTTATATCTATTTCTGCCTATTTTGGTTTGGCTGCCTTTAGCTTGCTGGAGTGATAAAAGATATACTGATTAGAGAGAAAATATATGTTCTTTTCTTGTTTCATCAAATTTATGAGGAATACATATTTGTTGTAGGTTGATACAAGACCAACATTACAGGTCCTACAATATTAACAGCCTCTGGGCTATTGAGTGAAATACTGAGGTCAGAGAGCTGTGTCCCACTAGTAATTATTTTGACTCTTAAATCTGCTGGTTGTTTAACAGCGATGTTTGTACAGCAAGCAGCTGAGAAGAGAAACTGGAAACACTGTTCTTCAACACTTATTGGCACAACTAGATGTTCATCAGAAGATGGAGCAGCAGCTTCAGCGGTAATGTTGTTGTTTCATTTCTTTTCCCCTGTTTTCTGTAACACTAGGGAAAGACTGGAGATGAAAATAACACTCACCAAATTTCTTGTACTTGTCAGTTTAGGCAGTCTGATTATGACAAGGGTGGAATTTAAAATCTACATGAGAATCACTGCAAGTGCAAGACAAAGAACTGTGCTCCCTTAATTAGGTTTCTATAATTTGACCAAAATATATCTGTCACTCTTTTCCTTTGAGAAGCAAAAAATAAAATGCAGCAAGTACAGAAGGAGTTTCTGATAGTTTAGAAAGATGCAAACAACTCACTCCATGCTTCATATTTTTAAACAAAATAGGAATCAACCTAGTTTGTGGGTAATTTATGCCTTTTGTGAAATTTGTACATTTGTGCAAACTGCGCAAATTGCACAAAGCCTCATTCTTGCCAATGAAAGATTTCTGAGAATGACCAGGAATTCCTTGCCATCCTCACCCAGAAATAGAAGAATGCTGACTAACCCCTCCTCCAACACAAAGACTAGATAAGCAAGAACTGACATAATTAATCAGTGCAGTAAGTATAGTTGAGATTCTTCAGAAATACTTCTTTAATTCATTTTGTATGTGAGCTATGAATGACTCTAGGTTTGGTGAAACAGACAGAGCCCTTATTTTCCTGGAAACTATAGAGTACAACAGACCATGAGCAAATATGTTAAAAAAACAAAAACCTGGAGGCAAAAGGTGTGAAGATTCATGCAAGTTGGTTTCCTAAATAGATTACTCATCCTATTTAAACATTGTTCCTTTGGGCCTTTTTAGTTCCTCATGGCTGTGGAAAGTGATTAATCTTGCACATTCTATTCCTAAGCACCTTAGCTTGAGATTTGCAATATCACCTGAATTTAAAGTGAACACTGAACTAAAGAGCTGTCTGTTAGAATAATCTTAAGGCACAAAGAAGGATTGGGCAATTAACATGCTATTTCCTACCTCGTCCTCTGTGACAATACATTGTGCTGGACTTTGATCATGGCTACTAGGCTGGATATTTGTTCAAGTCCTGGTTTGGACACTTAACCAAGCAAGGATCCCTACTCACACAGTAGAGGACTGGGAAAATAGACATAAATTAATTTTGATGAAAGAAATATCTACCCCAAGCAAAGTCTGGAATGTTTTTCAGATGCCAGCTTCTAGAATTTTCCAGCCACTGCAATCACTGCCCAGAGGACTCTGAGATTTGATAAGCAACTTTTCCAAATTTGAACTCCATGCTTGATGGCTTGATACACATCTGTTATCACATATTAAAAATAAACATGGTCACATAAATGAGGCCATGGCTTTGGGTCACGGATGGACAACTTCAGGAGGTCCACAGACAAATCTCCTCAAGAACTCACACAGGCCTATAAGTCTCCAATGCTGTTGAAATCAGCACAGTGGAGGCAAAAACCTAGGTAGTGTCGGGTTTTTTTCACATGGAAAAGGAGGGTCTCATTGTGCACTTCTTTCCATGGCTGATGGCATAATTTATAAATTACATTTATTTATCTCTTCTCCCCCCCCCCCCCAAAGATGGGGCATCTTCTTTCACCTTTTAATGCAAGAATGAATTAGGTGATTTTTATTGGTCCTGTTTTCTGTATTTTGTGGAAAATGTGGCAGGACAAAACTAGTGACTTTTTCCCTACGTTTGTGCATACACAAACACAAACACAAACATGAACAAACCAAACACAAAAGGGCTGGTGTGGCAGGACAAAACTAGTGACTTTTCCCCTATGTTTGTGCATACACAAACACGAACATGAACAAACCAAACACAAAAGGGCTGGTTGATCAAATGATTCAAAAGAAACAAGTAGCCCAATGTTATTGTTTGCTAATTCATGCAAGAAGCCAACAGTTTCTGCATTTTCTGATAATGTTCCCTTTTGAGAAATATAAAAAATCGGCCACACAAATTTCTTTGAGTATGCTTTGAAAAAAAATCTTGTTGCTCTGTAGAAGGATTTAAAAGCCTCAGACTTCTTTGTTCCTCACATTAAGATGAAACATCTCTATCCCTACTTGTACAGCCCTCAATTTTTAATCTAAATATTTTAGACAAAAGTATCATCTTATACACAGAAAAATATGATAACCAATTTTATGCTATCGTTGCTGAGCTAGGGAATGAAACATGATCCACATTTTTAAGGAATCTACTGTAAATTTTAAAATAAAACTTATCTGCTTCGCAGTTTATGGTTTGATATAAAATCAGAACACAACTTCACAGTTTGAACCGTGAGTGCTTCCAAATTTGATGATGCCATTCCTGGCTCAATTTGGGAAAGCTGTATATAGAAATGTGTGTATTAGTTAAACTTTTTTTTTAAACTAAATGTGGAAAGTTGCACACAGAAATAAACATGAATGTTAAAGAAATCACAGATATATGCAAAAATTTGGTTAAATACATGTGAAACTGACATGAAGTGGGTATAAATGATTCATCCATTCCTACACTGATCTAGTGTAAATAGACCATACGAGCAGCATAATAAAGATCACCACATTATCCATATTGATTATGTTGTCAGAGGGCACTGAGACATATGACATCACAAACTTTCCAGAAGACCAGTTAAGAAATTGCCCCCTTAAGGAGGGAATATATGAAATCATGATGTACCATGACACAATGTCAAAAATGGACTGGGAAAATTATTTGGTTAGTTTTTTCCTTTTCTATTTCAAGGAAGCATACATGGTTCCCCTCCTCCACACAATAATCCTGTGCTTGCTGTGTGGAGGTAACTCAGGCTGAGACAGTGGAACTGGTCCAAGGACAAAAAGTGTGTTTTATTACTAAGTAGAGAGGGTTCAACACAGGTAGCACATGTGAAGAATCCAACATAGTTTTGCACTTTGTGCAAAACTGGCTTTTCTTAAAACACAGAATTTCATTCTTGCCAATCAAAGAGATCTTATCAAAGGCCCTAAGAAGTTCCTGAAGTGATGTCACTGGAAAAGAAAATAATGTTGCAATCATCCTTGCCTAAAAGGATGAGAGAAGTGAATTTTTACAGTCCTGCTGCTCACCCAAGAGTTAAATAAGTTGAAAGTATGATTTTGGAGTTTTTTGCCCTTATAGCAACTCATTGGGTCTAGTTTCAATATCCGTATTTCTGTTTTACAAGAAGAGAGTTGCCTGTTGTGAAATACTTTAATATATCTCTTCCCTCAACATGGGGCATATATTTGCTATGGATTAAACCACAAAAGGCAATTCTAGGTGCCACAGAAATGTTTTTTCCTCAGTGTGAGTTACAGGTAGGGCTGCTTCAAGATATTGATCTCTGTGAATTCTGATATGTATTTACCTCATCTGCACCTTCCAGACTAATGCACAGATCAGACTACTAGCTTTTACAGTTTCCAGAAGTCCTGATATATATCTTAGTTAGTTCAAAGTACACACCAGTGACAAAATATATCTGTACTGTGAAACAACAATTTGCATCCAAATTTTTATGCATTTTTTTAAAAAAATCTCAGATTAATACAGAAACTTCATGGAACAGATTTATGAGGAAATATGTGAAAGAGACACACACAGGAAACAGAGTGATTTGTCTTTTATTACTGCCAAAGTTTTAAAGCTGGTATTATAGAAAGAAAACCCTTTCATCTGAGAATCCGCAACACAAGAGAAATTACATGTACCTTTGAAACTGATTTTTGCACTAAAAGCCCACAACCTTTTAATCTTAAACTTCCTGGATGATCAGTCTTCCAGTTGAAGAAATTCAGGGCCTTAATTCACTCAAATTTTGCCTCATCTTACAAAGTTCTGGACTTTTTTCAATAAGAACTTTTTAATGCTGACAGGAGAATGTATCCATTGTAATGCCAATACTGTAAATTTTCAGAATTTTAGATTCACTGATTATCTGCTAAAATGATGCTCTTCCATATTTCTCATGAATAATCACTTGATCTTGATGGCAGTTCTATCAACTTTTAATGTTATTATGCTAGACAGTTTATGTCTCATAAGTGGTTTCACTGGGAAAAATGTGTCCTAATTCGAAGAAAGTGATGCGTGCATGGGAATAAGGCTCTTTCATATGCATTAGACATGGTTATCTGAACTAGATAAGCCTACTTAGTGGGGAAAAGAAACCCTACATCTAGTAAATGTCATGTACACAAGTACAATTATCCATGGCCAGCTTTATTAGTAGGCAGAATTACTTGTCCCAGGCCACTGATTTGGGGTGCCATGAAAAGAACAATTTGTTAGTTATTGTGACGTCCTCCTTTCACGTCACAATGGTCACAACACTCTCTCATTCACACTTTACTTGCTGCCACTAACCACACTTATTGATCTGACTCATCAGACAATGGTATGGATTTAAAAATTAAAAAGGATTGTTTATTGAGAAAGCATAAATAATAGTAAATCACTGTAGGAACTAAATAAGGCAATCAATGTAATAAAGTGTCCCCCTCAATCACTCTCTCATTCAGACCTACTCTAGCACAGTACCTCATAACTTGAATAAACAGGCCCTAACACTCTATCTCATCCCAATCTCCCCCAAATCCCCCAAATCTGCCTTCACCACATTCACTCCCCCCTTATATACATTAACTCCACCCACTGAAGCCCCACCTCCTGTCCTGCCATAGGCAGATAAACTCCAGCCATAGCAGTGACAGGCAGGTGACATCATCACAGCCATCACAGTTATTTAACGTGATACTTCTGGAATTTTCTGCTTCAGGTACCTGAAAATTAAGGAAGACATTTATATCTTTGGCTGGGTAATATTATCAAGCAAAAGCTGATGGGAATCATGGGTCTAGTTATCAAGAGTCTAGAGTTTCTCTGGCAACCCAATAGATCAGGAGTATGACATCTGAGCAAATTACTCCAAGCAGTACTGAAATTACTGCTAAAATCTTTTGATGAAAGGAACTGAAAAGTCACCACGTTCCAGGCTCCAGTGAAAAGACCACAG